TATTGTGTAGAGGTTGGATGAAATGTTCTGTAGACATCTACTAGGTCCACTTGATCTATTGCATATTTTAGATCTTGGATTTCTTTATTGAGTTTTTGTTTGGATGACCTATCTATTGATGATAATGGAGTGTTAAAGTCTCCCACAACCACTGTGTTGGCGTTTATATATGCTTTTAGGTCTTTCAGGGTATGTTTGATGAAATTGGGTGCGTTGACATTGGGTGCGTACAGATTGATGATTATTATTTCCTTTTGGTCTATTTCCCCTTTTATTAGTATGGAATGTCCTTCTTTATCTCGTTTGATCAATGTAGGTTTGAAGTCTACTTTGTCAGAGATAAGTATTGCTACTCCTGCTGTTTTCGGGGGCCATTGGCTTGGTAAATCTTCTTCCAGCCTTTCATCCTAAGCATATGCTTATTTCTGTCGGTGAGATGAGTCTCCTGTAAGCAACAAATTGTTGGATCTTCTTTTTAATCCATTTTGTCAAACGGTGTCTTTTGATGGGTGAATTAAGTCCATTAACATTAAGTGTTAGTACTGATAGGTATGTGGTGATTCCTGCCATTTAGTTGTCTTAGTTGTTTGAAGGTTTGATTGTGTGTACCTAACTTGATGTTACTCTCTACTGTCTTGCTTTTTCTTTCCTGTGGTTTGGTGCTGCCTGCCTTTTCATGGTTAAGTTGGGTGTCACTTTCTGTGTGCAGGAATCCCTTGCAGAATCTTTTGTAATGGTGGCTTTGTGGTCACATATTGTTTTAGTTTCTGCTTATCATGGAAGACTTTTATTGCTCCATCTATTTTGAATGATAGCTTTGCTGGGTAGAGTATCCTGGGGTTGAAGTTATTTTCATTCAGTGCCCGGAAGATCTCACCCCACGCTCTTCTTGCTTTTAATGTTTCTGTTGAGAAGTCTGCTGTGATTTTGATGGGTTTACCTTTGTATGTTACTTGTTTTTTCTCTCTTACAGCCTTCAATATTCTTTCCTTAGTTTCTGAACTTGTTGTTTTAATGATGATATGTCGTGGAGTAGTTCTATTTTGATCTGGTCTGTTTGGTGTCCTGGAGGCCTCTTGCATTTGTATGGGAATATCTTTCTCTAGATTTGGGAAATTTTCCGTTATTATTTTGTTGAATATATTACGCATTCCCTTCGCTTGCACCTCTTCTCCTTCTTCGATGCCCATGATTCTCAAGTTTGGTCTTTTGATGGAGTCGTGAGTTCTTGCATTTTCTTTTCACAGGTCTTGAGTTGTTTAATTAATAGTTCTTCGTTTTTCCTTTAATTACCATTTCATCTTCAAGTTCTGAGATTCTGTCTTCTGTTTGTTCTATTCTGCTGGATTGGCCTTCCGTTTTGTTTTGCAGTTCTGTTTCGTTCTTTTTTCTGAGGTTTTCCATATCCTGGCTGTTTTCTCTTTATGTTGTCTATTTTTGTCCTGAGTTCATTTATCCATTTATTCATTGTGTTCTCTCTTTCACTTTGGTGTTTATACAGTGCTTCTATGGTTTCCTTTATTTCTTCTTTTGCTTTTTCAAATTCTCTATTTTTATTGTCTTGGAATTTCTTGAGTGTCTCCTGTACATTTTGGTTGACCCTATCCAGTATCATCTCTATAAAATTCTCATTGAGTACTTGTAGTATGTCTTCTTTTAAATTATTCTTGTGGCTTCATTGGGTCCTTTGGCATAGTTTATCTTCATTTTGTTGGAGTCTGGATCTGAGTTTCTGTTCTCTTCATTCCCCTCTGGTTCCTGTACTAATTTTTTGCTGTGGGGAAACTGGTTTCCTTGTTTTTTCTGTCTTCCTGTCATTGTCCTTGGTGTTGTTACTGTCCCTGTACTGTGTGTAATTAAGTATTTTCTAGCTTGTAATAATAACAATGGTAATATTGAGAATGGAAGAGTGAGCTGAGATGGAAAGCAAGAAGTTAAAGAAAAGGGAAAACAAATATACAGACAAGAGGGAGAAAGCAGAACAAGGTATCAGACAAGAGAGTTTCAAAGGTATAAACAGGGAGTGTTAGTGTACTAATCGACAGTAAGCTGAACAGACAATAGAGAGACAGAGAGAGGATTGAAAATCAAAGATAAAAAAATAAAAAATAAGTATATGAAAGTAATATCTATTTATAAAAATGAATTAAAATAAAATGGAAAATAGAAAATTAAAAAAAAAAAAAAAAAAAACAAAAAACTTCCAAGTTTATATGCAATGCAATTTCAGTCTTAATAATTTGGATGTCCGTCTCAATCTCCAGTCCTGGAGTTGGTGCCTCAGATGTTGTTCTGTAGTTGTCTCATCAAAGGGGATGCATAAAGTAGAACAAAACTACACTCACACACACACAGAAGAAAAAAAAAAAAGCCCCACCAAGTGTCCCCAGTTCAAATGCAATACAGTTTCAGTAAGTTTTTCGGCTTGCAGGTGTAATTCGGTTGTTCTCTCATCAAAGGTAGGGAGAAAAAGAAAAAAAAGCGTCTGGAGGCAGTTCTGAGAGTGGTATCTGCAACTGTGGCTTGCCTGCCTGCTGCTCTCAGCCTGTAGCTGGCGGCGTTATTTATGCAGATCTCTGGGGTGAGCTTAGCACTCACCTGGTCCCACAGGCTTTGTTTGCTCAGAGTTCTCCTGTGCGCCTACAGGCTTTCCCTTTCCAAGCACTGGGAAAGGCGACACTGCCCGCGTTGTCAGGCCTGCGTGTTTATTTACAGTTCACGTGGGAAGTGGGTCTTCCCTCCTCTCACAAGCGTCCCCGCTCCTGGTTGCTGGCGCGCCCCGCTCCCGCCAGAGCCTCTCCGCCCGCCCGGCTCGTTTATTTACAGTCCCGGGAAGGATTCCCTTCCCCAATCTTCAGCGCTCAGGGCGCCCCACCCTCTTTCCAGCGTGTCTTAACTGTTCTTATTGCTTAGTACTCAGTTTCTCTTTTTTCCCGGGTGGAGGTCAGTGTGTCCAGGGGGCTATGCTGCTCTGGCCCAGGCTTGTCTGTGTGGGAACCGCGGTACCACGAAGCTCACCTGGTCCGCGTCTTCCCAAGCCGTATGGGCGCCGGCCACTGGCGGCCCGGGGGCCTCCTCGGTTCTCCGTTTAACGTGAAGTGGAGATTCTCTGCGCCGGCTGGAGATGTGGAGGGGTCAAAGTTATGCCTTTTCTCGGTGATTATGCCTGCAAAGTGTGTCTCCAGCGTCTCTCCAAGATTTCACTATAGGAGGCTCGCTTTCTGCTTCCTCCCTCTAGCCACCATCTTGGAATTCTCTCGTTTCAGCATTTTAAAGAAAGAATTAACTCGACAAAAAATAAAAAATTTCTTAAGTCATATAGTACATTTTCAATGATTTCTTCCAACTTTGGTTTTCCTTTTCTAAACACTTTCTAAAAGTACGACTTTAAGTTACCTAATTTTATTTCAAAAACAAGTATGGTAGAAAATTCTGTATTTATAAATATGACTCATTATATACGTTTAAAATACTTTCTAACATTCATATCTACTACTTAAATGTAGCAGAATGTAACACCACACCATTTTTACTTTTTATTGCTAGCAACTGTCAAGTGTAGTTTGGATCTCGACTATGAAAGATAAAAGTATTTAGGCCAGTCATAGTATCTCTGGTCTGTAAAACTCAGCAGTAAGGAGACTAAGACAAGGAGGATCGCCAAATTGATACTAACTTGGGCCTGCATGGACAGACCGTCTCAAAAAAAAAAAATTAGTGAAAATGCAAGGCATAAGATTTTGAAAGTGTCTAATCAAATCACATTTCTGTTACCAAAGATGACTTCGACATAAGATTGTAATAAAATCCACGTTTTACTTGCTACATTTGTTAAGGAATATGGAATATACGTTTTCCTCATCGGGCTCTCAGACTGAAACTTAAAACTTTTCTTTTTTTATTTTATTATTCATATGTGCATACCAGGCTTGGTTCATTTCTCCCCCTGCCCCGACCCCTCCCTTACCACCCACTCCGCCCCTCCCTCTCCCCCCCTCAATACCCCGCAGAAACTGTTTTGCCCTTATCTCTAATTTTGTTGTAGAGAGAGTATAAGCAATAATAGGAAGGAACAAGGGGTTTTGCTGGTTGAGATAAGGATGGCTATACAGGGCATTGACTCACATTGATTTCCTGTGGATGGGTGTTACCTTCTAGGTTAATTCTTTTTGATCTAACCTTTTCTCTAGTTCCTGGTCCCCTTTTCCTATTGGCCTCAGTTGCTTTAAGGTATCTACTTTAGTGAAACTTAAAACTTTAAACTTAGTATACTTTGAATAACCCGTCTCTCCTTGCTCCATTTTTATTTCAAAGATTACTTGATGTTGAGTGAAGCTTGGGACGGCAAAAGTTGCTAAGTATTTCCCAAGCTCAGAAATGAAGAGAACTCATATAATTGTAGGGAGGGAGGAAAACCTGTAAAACTTCTGGAGCTGGTAACTAGGCCAAGACCCGCACGGAAATGTGGTAGGTGTTTGGGTAACCAGACCCTTGGGTCCAGACCCAAGACCATTGTGCGTAGCCTGCGCGGGTTCGGTCTCCTCGCGGGCTTCTATGGCGAAGGAGGCGGCTAGGTGTGTGGTGGACGAACAGCAGCGCGGAGGAGGAAAAGACGTTGTGAGTCAGGTCGGCCGTGCTTTCGCCGCACCTTGCCCAGTGGGTGCCTCTGCCCATCTACCCTTCCGCATTTTCCTGGATCTCTCCCGGGCGGTGACGTGACGTGCTGACGGCGGGCCCATGCCGCGGAGCTGGGCCGCTTTTTGTCAGCTCCGAGCTCGGCCCCTCCTCCCGCCACACCACGGAGTCCGGCCAGTGCTCCAGAGAAAGGCCGGCCTGAAGCACCCGCTACCGTTGCTGATCGCCCTTCTGCTAGACTGGTGACTTCCTGTTGCCGCGACGGCCGTGTGTCCCAGTGCGCGCAAGGCGGTCTAGTCAGCGGCCCGTAAAGACAACCTCCCATGCTAGGCCGGACTGCATGGCACGCGACGCCGAGCAGGCCTGGGCAGGCCGCAGTTAGGCCCGGAAAGGTGCTCGGATGCTCTAAGTGGCGGTGGAGGCGCGTTCGGTAAGCGGGCGGGGGCTGGGATTGGATTGCCCTGCTGTCCCGGAGGCGGCCGCCTGATCGCGGGTCGGCTCCGTGACCAACCTGTGGCACCACACGGGGGGAGGCCTGGCCGGAACCTAAGTCCACAACGTGAAGTGAAGGCCGCAGGCCTGCCGGGCATATTTTCGTTATGTAAATATGGGGGAGGGAGGGGAGGGGAGACAAGATGGCGGCCACTTGGCGCCTGGTGCGGGGGTGTGGCGAGGTCGCAGGGGTGTGGGGGGGTCGGTATGATGGCTGACTTGTTTGCCGGGAGGGGGAGCCGGGATTTTGAATGCTATTGGACAGAAAAATACCACTACAGCCCGTTAGAGGGGGTGGGAGAGCAGCCTGCGGCGTCGTCGCCTTAACTGTCCGGCACCAGAGTTTTGGCGCGGCGTCGTGTACGCGCCTAGGGCGTGTTTGCTCCGTGAGGCTGCTGCGCTCTTACCGCCATGATGAAGATTCGTGTTCCCGCCCTCCGCGGCTACATCGCTTTCCTTGCCCTGCCTCCCATAGTTTAGTGAACGACTGCCTTTTTCCCGCTGTTTTCAGCGGGTTCTTTTCACTCTGTTTTGTGGCACTAGTTGCGTCTTGCTGTCTTGGTTCCGGGTTGGAGGTTTTTCCCTCCGTCAGTTACCATTTAAGGGTGGTCGGGGAAGGTGGCCCCACTGGCACTCCTGGGGATTTTATTTTTCGTTAAGTGAAGTAACCCTTGTTTATTATGACTTAGGTGCGATTCTTCGCCAGTCACTGATCCCAGGAATGCATGATATATAAAAGTAGAATTTGATGGGAAGAAAGTTCTTATATTCTTGACTAATGGAAGGAAACTGTAATTACATGGTACTAAAGTGAAGGAAATTTGGGTTTTGACAGTATTGGCATTTGAATTCTGCAATTGTGCTTGGTAAAGAAAAACTTTTTAAAGATACATCTCATGTTGGAGAACCTCTCCAAGAGCTCATTTGAACCATAAACTTTTTAAAAGAAAAAAGGCGCTGGAAAAGCACATTTTCTTACTGAATTACATGTTTGCAACATCATGGACCCACGATGCTATTTAAGTTTTTCTACTGTAATTTGAAGTTGAATTTTGAATTTTTATCCCTCAAAGTGCTTTGGATTGCATGCTGTCTCATGTTGCTGGTGAAGCAAAACCATGTGTTCATACACTTTATGGTAAGTGGTAAGAAAAAATGTGCTGTAATACATGTCTGCCTAAAGTTTTTGCTGCTTTTATTTGTAGCATCAGAAAAATATTCCTTAATAGGATGGTGTTAATAAATACAGTGGGTAAACTTTTTTATGTAGAGGTGGGAGTAGGGAAAAGGTATTACAAGAAAGTTACTGTGGGGCAGGATTGAGGCTTGACTGAAATGGTAGAGAGTCTGCCTAACAAGTTCATGTTTCTGACTTCAAACTTGGTGTGTGTGGACGGGTGGGGTACAGTGGAAACAGCCTCTATTTCCAATTTGGCTAAACTTGATGTTCAACATACCAGATTGGTAGTACAGACCAGAAAAGTTTGTGACTGGGAGTTGTAGAGTGACAGCAAACCTGAGATGTGGTTGATACTCAGTTTATAATTCTGACTTCAAGAAGTGTTGTTCCCATTGCAAAAGTTTCATAGTTGCGAAATATGAGTGAAAGTAGTAAGCTGATTACTTTTTGTTTCTAAAATATTGTCAAGAATATTGCTTTGTGTGTGTATGGGGTGCGGCGAGAATATTGGAGTTTGAACTCAGGACTTTGCTCTTAGTAGGCAGGTACTCCTTCCACTTGAGCCAGGCCTCCAGTCCTAGATATTATTTTTAAATGTTACTGTTTCTTGGATGTTGTTCCATATTTGCAAAGTATCACAATAAATAAATGTGAAGTTTAATAGGAAATGTACTGTCATGATTGAGAACTACAGGGAAAAATTCATAAAGTCCATCAATTAAGTATTGAGAAGTAGAATTAGTTAAAGCAGTTCTTAAAACTTCAGTTCCTTTCATTGTTCTTAGGCAAGCCTTGCCGGACAACAGTATCACCTGATAAGAATAACACTTTTTATTACTTTTCTTCTCTTAAAGCTCATATTTAACTTAATGCTCTACACATAGGGGTCTCAGAAAACATGCAGCATTTATTTCCTACAATTATATGGTATAAAAATCAAGTTTTCCCGTTTTTCCTAGACAGTAACAGGTTAAAGCAGTTATGTTCCTTGAGTACTGAAGGAAACGAGATTGGCATATTTACGGTAACAAACAGGTTACTGTTCAGAAGGAGGCATTACAAGAAATATAACAGACTAGAAGCAAGTTGTATATGCATTGTTTGTTGACTTGATAACTTGCTAATGCATTTTCTATTTGTTGACTGTAGAAGTAGTTGCCCTCTATCTTTGACAGCTGAAGAGCTATAAAGAAGATAAAATTGTGTGTTACACAGTACAACAGCAGGTTATTCCAATTACAGCCGTAATGGATGTGCAAGATTAAATTAGACTCAAGCATAATTTAAAAGGACAGGTAAGAATGTAGCTTTAAAGGGTTTCTTATAGAAATGACTAAATATAAACAAGTTCTTTGCCTGAAGGGAGAGGTCTAGATGATCTTGAAAACTGATGGGTGGAATACCTTACTAACCAAGTGTTTTGGGTAAATGAGGTATTGGTTTTAAGACACCTTTTTTTTTTTCTTTCCTGTTTTTAAAAAAATACAGTGGTTTTTGGTGGGAGTAAAGAGGGATAGTGTTAGATGGTTTTTATTTGAGCTACTTGGGAGGTGGAGATTTGGAGAATCCTGGTTCAAGGCCAGCCCAGGCAGAAGTTTGGCCCCATCTCAACCAAAAAGTTCACATTTATAATCACGCCACACAATATGCTATGGGTAGCAATATCAAGGCCCTAGGCTAACCCCTGGCAAAAAGGTGAGACTCTATCAAAAAAAAATAACCTAAAAGGCTGAGGGTGTGATTCAAGTGGTAGAGTACCTCCCTGGTAAGTACTAGACTCTTAATTTAAACTTTGTACAGCTTATCTCCCTTCTAAAAAACTTGTAGTACTTTTAGAAATAAGCTAGCTGTATTTCTATTTATGTTTTCACTAATTAACCAGTTTATTATTATTTATATTTGTGCAGATTAGAAATTACAAACCTTCTTTTTTGTAATTGTAGTCCCAGTCCCCTAGCTATTTCTTGTTCTTTTATAATTCTAGATGGCCATCTGATGTAAGTTCTTGATATCTGCTACTTTATGGATTTCCTTTATTTCTACATAGATTTCCTCTGGTATTTTTTCTCTGTGCTTTCAGTTTGATGGGGTACTTGCCTTCCTTCTAAGTACTTTTATTCTGCCTATGCTCTACCCTGACTTTCTCTTGATCCTTTTGTCTTCCTTTTAAATATTTCATATATGCTCATTTTACAAAAACTTCGTCTTAATTCTATCAGTCTTTTTATCTAAGCTCTTTCAGTTTTTGGAGATATGGTTCTCCTGGTATGGGTCAGGCTGGTTTTGAACTTTGATCGCTCTGCTTTAGCCTCCCTAGTGCTGGGATTATTAGGCAGGTAACACATGTTTCTCTTTATATTGTGTTTTCTCCAGTCTCCTTCTTATCCTGTACTGTCCTTTTCATGCTCACTTTTCATCAGTTACTGGTGTTTCCATTAACTGAACATCTCTTCCATATTCAGAAGGCTGACTTAATACATAGTAGATACCTAGTAATAGTTACGGAAAATTTTCCTTTGTTCTAGAGTTTTTAAAATAGCTCCTGCTTCTTGCTATTTAATTTTTGTTTCTTTTTCCTTCTGTTCTACAGTTTTCTTCAGACTCATTCTTCTGTCACACAGAGTAATGTAAATATCTTTAGTATTTATTTGTATATATTTTTGTGTTCTTCCTCAGTTATGAAAAATCCTTATTGTAGAGAAGTTCTTACTCTGCTTTGTTAATTCTAGTAGAATTAGAAGTTTACAGAGTTTAATACATCTCCAACTGAAACTTAAGTAGCCAACCAGAAAACTGTTGGAAATTGAGTAAAAATATTAATGTGTACACATGTATTTGTGAAAGCACCAGTCAAAACAGGGAGATCAATAAACTTTCTCTTTTTATTCATCACTGCTCTTTACTTCAACTGACAGGACTGTTGGCAGCCAATTCAAATCTAGCCAGAATTACTGTTGTGGTAGTGATGGTTATTATTATTTTGGTACTGGGGTTTGGACTCAAGCTTCTTTCTTGTCGTGTTTATTCTACCACTAGAGCACATCCTAACCCTTTCTTCTTTGGTTTTTTTTGGAGATAGGTTTCTCTACTTTTTGCCCAGGTTAGCCTAGACTTCACTCTCTTTTATTTTATGCTACCCATCATCCACTGTGATGACAGGCTGTGCTATAAGGCCCGTTTTTTCATCAAGATAGGTTTGCAGAACCTTTTTCTGCTTTGGGGTGGCCTGGAATCTCAAAGTACATGCACTTTGTCCAGGCATTGGTTAGATGTGCTGACTTTTTGCTAGAACGGATTTGATTTATAGACCTGTCAGTCTCACCCTTGTCAAGTAGCTAGAATTATAGGCGTTAACCACTAGTGTTGGCAGGTTTTTTTTTTTTTTTTTTTTTTTTGAGATAGGGTATCACTGTAGCCAGGCTATACATGATCCATCTCCCCTTGTCTACCAAGTGGTGATTATAGGCATATGACACCGAACCTCGATTAAGTGGCATTTAAATCAGGACGAGTAGAAAAATTTTTTCTTTTATTCATTTTTTTCATACTGGAGTTTGAACTTGGTCTGGTGTTTTCTAGGCACACACTCTATACTTTCGCAAATCCCACCGACCTTTTTTTTGTTTAGTTATTTTTCAGGTAGGATCTTGCATTTTTGCCTGGGTTGACTTTGAACTGCGTTTCTACTGCCTTATGAGAGATTTTTCCTGGTCACACAGAAATTGAAGGCTTTTAAAAAATATTAAGAAGTTAACATAACTAACAGATATTAAGCATTTTAAATTATAGAATGTTTGAAGGTATTGAAAACAAGTACCCTTATGTAATAAACTATAGCATTGTGGTTTCATAAGTTTGCCTCATTGTGTTTCATTTTGGCCTCAAGAGGTAGAGTGCTTGCCTAGAAAGAATGAAGGCTGAGTTCAGACACTAGTTCCACCTTAAAAAAAAGTAAAAACCCTACAAAAGCAATTAAAGGATTGCTTAAGTACTTCCTTTTTACTTTTTTCTCAGACATGGTATGTGTGGCTTAACAAGTATTATTTTTGTTTATTTTATTTATGTGTGATTTTTTTATATTTGTGCTTTATTATTTATACTTAATTGAATAAGATTTACACTTGTTAAATATGAATTTAGTTTATTCTTAATGTTGCCCAAGTACTCATAACAAATCTTTGACAATTTTTCAGGGTGTCTGTGAGAAGAAAAACTATTTTTCACGAAAATACTAATTTTTCTTTTTTAAAAAACTGATACTTTTTATGAATGTTGGTGCATAGTGAGTTTCCAGAGACTGCTGACAAATGGCTGTTCAAAAAATTGAAAGCAGACAGAAGATATATCTTTTTAATTGATTTTTTTAAATTCCTTTTTTTTTTTTTTTTTTTTGTGAGATAGATTTTTTGCTATGTTGCCTGGGCTGTCCTTGAACTCATGATTTTCCTTCCTCAGTTTCTACAGTGTTAGGATTTACAGGGGTAACCATACCATACCCAACTGTCTTCTTTTAAACCACATATTAAAGTGATTTGTAATAATATTAATTTTTTTTAATTTAGAAAATGCTTTCATTACAAGATGCTGTTTATATGGTCATGATTTTTCAGTTTTAAGTGAATAAATACAATACACATCTTCAGTTGTAAAGTAGACCTAAGATAAAGTTTAAGAAAGAGCTAATTTATCCATACACTTTGTAAATACATATCCATTCTTTCGGTTCAGTTAGCTTTTTAGTTTCTGTTCTGCAATATCTGAAGCAATCCTGCTGTGAACATTTTGTGTTCACAAATGTTCCTGTTTTAAGTGGAATTGATACCCTGGAAAACAATTCAGTAAGTGGTACAGTGTCGACAAAGCTGAGAAT